CATTGCGTGATTCAATGTATAAATTAATTTATTGATTATTGAATTAGAAATAAAATTAAATACAATTAGTATAATTATTATTCCTATTCTATACACAACTTTGTAAAAATTAGTTAAATTAAATTATATTTTAAAATTTTTTATTCTAGAGTAGAAAATAATTACCAACATTTTTCTCATATTATAAATAAATAAATAAATACAGTATATTATTAATTAAATTATTATCTAATAAAACAATTTCCTAGGATATTATTTGTCACATCAATTTTAATGATAATTAAGGGACAGATATTGCCATCATTTATAAGTCAGTTACACACGGATAGTATGACCGATAGAATTGACTGCTATTTCGGAGACTATCACTCTTACTGCGGGCCCTATTCAACAGTAGCCAACCCTCGGGCGCCTCCATTGGCAGGCAGTGGTCACCAGTAATCCACTTCAGTATTAAGACCAGAGTTTGTTTGATCCTATCGTTCAACATAATTATAATATACTGTTCCCTCGAGTCTGAAGATATAAACAAAAATACATTTTAAATCTATTGAAAGTATAGTTTTTATGAAACTTTACAAACCATTAGAAGTGACATCAAATTTGAGTCCATTGGGGGACTGGTCTCCGAGGGACAGGTGCTCACGAAATTTAGCGCTCAACTCATTGGTCACTTGAATGAATAGCACCGGTAGGGACGGGTCGGTACAGTAGAACAGAGTGTGTATACCAGTGAACGGAATGATAATATTGGAGCGGAATCTGGTTTTCGGGCAATTCTTGGCGACACGTTTCATACGAATGGAGTCCTCCCTGACCTCCAGCGCTGTGATTGTCGTCTCAAATGTGCCAAACATTACGTACTTCACGAGCAATACGATGGGAAAGTGCATTGCCGTGGGAGGGGTCGAACTCAGGCCACACTTCCCGCACAAACGACCCACGTATGGGTAGGAGGACAGGGATGAGCAGTGTCTGCACCGATACATTGGTGCCAACAGTGGGTCGACAGGCGGTCGTAGGCCCGGTCTGTTTGGACAACTGTCCTCATGCCGGTGTACGTCGTCTAATGGCATGGAAGTGACGGTACAGACATAGCCGTCAAACCAGCGGCACTTGACCCGCACCTGTAGGAGCCATTGAAAGATGAGGTGGTTCGGGCGTAGGGTGGCGGACAGGGAGGCGTCGAATACTATGCCATCGATGTTACAGAAGGGCGAGTGTCGACCCATTTCTGTCATACAGGTATAGCAGGCGCTGTGATGACAGCCCGATAGTAAGACTCCGG